TAACCTACTTTAGTAGATACCTACTATAACGTCTAATACTAAAATTAATCACAATAATATCATAAAATATAGGTACCTACTTACTACTTAGTAATATTCTAGGCTGAAAGTCAGTCTTCGATCACAATCGTTTTTCGTATACAATAATGATTTATATCATTGAATTCAAATTTAACACCATCCATTACATTAATCCACTTGGGCCACTTGTAACCAACTGTAACTAACGGCCATTGTAGCTGATGTTAATTAAGAACAATAAAAATAATAATAATAATAATAATTACGCATTGGCTAATAATAATATAAAATTGATTAAGCTAAAATTAGTTTGAGTTAAGTACAATAGGTACTAAAGTTTTAAGCTAAGTGGTATTTACAAAGAAAAATAAAACATTTTAACAAATGAAAATGTCATTAAAACTAATTAGGTAGGTACCATACCTAATAGTTTATTTTTTTCTATCATAATTTTTTTTTTTATGTATAAGTATATTTTTAAAAAGTCCAGGCTTTTTAAAAGTGACAAATAATTAATATATATTGTTAAAATTATAAATACAAATATTATGTTCCCTACATATTTGGTTATCAGCATATATGGAGCCAGTGGCGTAGCCAGGGGGGGGTTTTGGGTGTTTAAACACCCCCCATTGACATTTCCCTCCTAATAAATATATTGTTTATAGGGTTCGGGACTGCTTGCATGTTTCATTGTAGTGGTAGTAGGTTATTTTAGATAAGTTATAAATTTGTCTTATCAAACAAAGTTTGAATTTGCAGATTTTTGCAAATTGTAGGAAAATTGTACATTTGAGAGATTTTTCCCATATTTGTGCATATTTTAAATTTTTTTAACTTAAATGTAGGTACATACAATTATTAAAATCATATTTGGATAACATTGAAAAATATCTTTAAAAATATTATGTTTGGTTAGGTATACAATAGGCGCTAATTTTGAGATTTGGGGAAGCCGAAGCCTAAAACCAGTGGCGGAACTAGGGGGGTGAAGCCGGGGATTGATCCCCGGGCGTAAAATTTTAGTGGGCGTAATTTTTCTTTTAGTTCTTTATTTAATGCTTGGTGATAGAAGTTAAGAAAACATTTTTATTTCACATTATTTGTTTATAATGTTGTAGTGATGACGTTGGAATTAATGAAAAAAAAAAATAAAGTTAATGGTATTATGAATAGATTCGTATTAGTATACTAAGTATATACTGGTATACTGGCATTAGCATACCTACTGCAAACATATACAACTAATGTACTATAATTATTAAGATTCTGAGTGAAAATGTAACTAGTAACTACATAGGCATTTATTGATGCTGTGTTTTCGTTAAAATTTCTGATACCTACACAATAACTGTTATAAGATTATCAATCAACGTACGATACGTATATTATATCTGTATATTAAAAATGATGTTAATATGTTTAAAAAAAAAGATTTGATTTTAAATATTTACTTTTTCATTTTTTCTATTATAAATTGTTTAATTAAATACAATTTTTTACTGGCCTAAATTGTGTACCCTAATCAGAATAAAAGATTTTATATTTTACCATAAAAATCTATTATAATTGAAGGCTGAGGCGCATAGAATAAAACAGCAAAAGGGTTTATACAGGTTTATTTTTATACAGGATAGGTAGGTAATTAAAGTTTTGATTATTTTTCAACATTTATATATAACTAATATTATTATTATTTCTAATAATAAATACAATTAAGTAACCACTACAGTATTTCCAGTAATTAAAAATGTATCAACAATATGGTAACTAAGTTAACTAAGTTTGTAATTTTAGTTCCAGTTATGATAAAACAATTGTAGGGAATGATATTGTATTTTCGTCTTGGTCTAAGATTGGGCTTAATTTTAATATTTTCCCCGGGCGTAAAAATTCTTAGATCCGCCTCTGCCTAAAACCATACTATTATAAAATGTTGTAAATGTTTGGGAGACCTGTTAAAGTTCTTGGTGGAGCTTGGCTACGGTTGGCCCTATTTTCGCATATGGTACGTAAGACTTTATAAGTGTTTTGTGACAAGACTGTGTTAAAACTATAATTGGCATCTAGATTCTAGATTGTACGAATAAATGAAAATCAGTAGATATGTGTTCGTTTATCACGGTGTTCGCATATCACGTTATTCATTATAAGGTACTCATTTATTACCTAGTATTTTATACCAGCATTTTTAAAAATCAAGTTTTATTTCAAAATAGTTTAAAAATATCCAAAATATGCAATATTATCCTCCGTCCATCATATTAATCATTAATCAATATAGGTACCTACCTATATTAAAATTTGTATAACCGTGTTTAAATTATTTTTATCATGTTTATATAGGTACCTACTTATTTTTTAGTTTTTTATTATAAAAATTGTAATATGTTTTATAAATTTTTCAAAAATAATATAAAAATGTAGCTACATATATTTAAGCATATTTTGAAAATCTTGACTGCATATTTCGATAGTTTTTAGTGCAACAAGTCAAGTCCCAAATCCTAAATTTATTTATGTACGAAAACTGTAAAAACTTGGTTTTAATCTATACTTAAACACCCCCCATTTCATAATTCTGGCTACGCCACTGTATGGAGCTATAGTTAGTCCAAGCTGTTTATGTTTGTTGGTACACAAATATTGATATATTTTGTATGCCTAACGGGTATTCGCTAGGAGTGATTCACCTTGGCTAAATTACACTTAAACCTGTATAAAATTAATAGAATAGTTCTAATAATTTATATGAATGCGTGGTGCATTATATTATGAGTTCTAAATGAACAGAATTATTTTTTACGGCATTGTAATACGTGGGCTTCAATAATAGAAATTAAATTAGCCTATTTAGAGTCCATATTTTTAGCTCATAAATATGTGAATCATAATCTTGACCCCAACATATTATACATTCATACTTATTTCATAAGTGTGAACAATTTACGTATCGTGTTTTACCTGTATATGTGCAAAAAGATTTGAAAATTTTAAACAAGGTTCCCCTAAGTCATAACTTATAACTCAAAACTCACTTAATTTCAGTAGGTATTTCACATTTTAACAAAAATTGATTATTTAAACGAAAATAACAATTTTAGTTCAAAAAAAAAATTTTCTTATAGACTTGAAACTTTTCTTCGATGTGTAATTATTATTTACTATACCTACTTACATAAATAATGACGTTTTATTATATTTATACCACAAATTTATTTACACCATTTTACGGTAGGTATATACCTCTATCTAGATACCAGATATGTCTGTATTGACTTATAAAAGTTATAGCATTTAAAGTTCAAATTTTGACAAAATACGAAAATGTGCAAATTATTTTGAGTTAAAAATACATAACAATTTTATTTTTAAATCTAACATTGGAAAATTTAATACAAGATTCCTCATAAGTATGTCTACCTTTATCAAAAAAAAAAATATCTACCTGAAAGTCAAATTAAATTTTTATACATCATTGGATATTCTCTCGATTTCTCATGTTGACATGTAGCGATTTTCTTATTTTGTTGTAATTCAAACACGAATAACTGTAGATACTTGAATTTTACAGCATATAACAACTTATCAATTCCCTAATCCCTTACTTTATAATATGTACAAAATATTTTGACCTGTTTTGAGCTGTTTACTACGGATATTTTAATTTTTTTTAGTTTTTTTCTTTAATTGTCAATAAATTGTCATTTGTTGGGCCAAAAAGCATCAACATTTAATACAATGCTCCTGCTATATTTTTATTTTACCAGTTGAAAAATTTTTAAAATACATACAAGCAAATTTTTTTTTATAAGTGTTGAAAGTTCGAATTTTGACAAAATGTGTTGAATTTTTAATTTTAAAATTATGTTGTAGTTAAAAATGTATAAAATGTTTAGCTTTTATAGCCAAGGATTGAAAATTTAAAACAAAGTTCCACGTAAATAGGTAAATAAATTACTTTATTCACAAAAATATCATCAAAAATAATATAGGTAGGTACTTAGTAATATTATAGCCCGACTATCTTCGCTCAGAATCGTTTTTCTTATACAATGATATTATATCATTGAATTCAAATTTAACACTATCCATTCCAGATTACAGTGATCCAATTGTGACCTACTGTCAGCAGAGAGATACCCACTTTTTTTTTATTAGATTCACGTGGACAAGGACTAGATATATTTTATTTTTTAATTTAATTACATTTTTTGGTAAAAAAGTTAAAAAATTTAATTTTTGAAACAATTGAACACTGCCATTCCATGGTTTCATTTTCTGTAAATGTTGACCTTTCAACATTTTATTTTCATTGTTTCAAGATTTTTAATAATTTTTTTAGTTTATAGGTAAAACAGCAAAAAACCGGTTTTTATCCGAGCCGCGAGTTTCCTTCCACAGCTTATGGGTATATCCTCACGGAACAAACTGCATATAATGCCTAGGCATTATATGTTAAAATTAATTTGCCTAAAATCCACAGTCATTTTATAAAATACTTACTTAAATAGTAAATACCTAGGTAATAGGTATATGTAATTATTGAATTATACATATTACCGGTAACATATTAAGTATGCATATTTTGGTGTAATCAATTGAGTAAAATGACATACGACACCAATGAATTTCTTTTGTATTATATATATACCTGTACGCTGTAATAGTTGTTTATTTAGCTAAAAATATATGTAAGTAAGAAGGCATGCTATAACACATAAACATGACAACCATAATGAAGCATACTATTATTATACTAATGTAAAATAAATTATAAAAAATAAAAATTTTTATTGATAATTCTTAAAATAAAACACTTAAATAATATATTTTTAAATATAAAATAACTTAATGGTAGGTTATATTAAATATATACATTGTTATTTTAACATAATGATTCAATTTGATTGACAAACATTTAGAAATTTTTGTCTTGCATGGTAATATTTTCATAAAAAAAATGTTTCACGTCCAGTTTAGCTTTTTAAAACTTTATATGTACAGTTCATAATGCTTTTTGTTTCATCACTACATATTACCAAATCAGATGATTTCTCAAAATACCTATCTATACCCCAATGACATAGTTGAAGACGAGCTTTTTGGTTGTTGCAAGCAATTGACCATATGGCTAAGCTAATATCTTTATAACTTTGGTTTGTAGGGTTTCCAGTTTCTAATAAGGTTTTAATCCCGTCTAAAAACACATCTAGATATGACACATAAAATGTTTATTAAGATTAATGAATTTTATATTCTAAATTGTATTTATAGTGTATTACCTGATGACAAAATAACTGCACGGTTTTGTCCATTAAAACACAAGTTTCTCAATATGGCTAAAGAATCATTTACATAATTTGATTTTAAGAGATCTACTAAAGTATCCAAAACATTTTCAACCTATGAAAAATAAAAAAATATCCACACAAAATTAAAGAAAACAAGAAATATATTATTACTAAACAGTACACCTAAAAATCATGTTTTTTACTTTTAAAAGGTGTATTTGTCCCTCGTTGTAACTTGTGAAAACCAGTAAAAACTTTAAATATTGTTGTTCAATCTTAATTGGACATTTTTTGTCTTTAAGGTTAAGAGCCAACACAATGATAGACAATAGTTTACTCTGAAAAAAGTTATACATATAGGTAATATATTTAAAAAAATTAATAAAATGTGTATTATTATTAGCATATTAATATACATAAAAATTATACTTTTGTAATTGTTACACGACATTCTTGAGCTTGGCAACAGTTCAAAACTAACAGCAGAGTAATATTCAAAATATCTTCGTTTAAATGAAAATTAGTAGATAATGTAATTACTTCATGAAATAATGAAAATGAAGTACATTTTGTTTTTGGTTCCATTCCAAGTGTACTGCTAGTCATTGTCATTGCACTGCATGCTATAATGTAGGTTCATACATTATATTATAATTTATATTAAATTTATATATACATCTCTTTTTCTATTAGAAAAAAAAAACTATTACATTTCTGAAATTTAAATTAGTTTCTAATTATTATCAAAAATGAAATGTGAAAATTATATAATTTTAATATTTATATATATTTTTTAAGTTATTCTGTTACTTCATAATGTTCTAATGAATTTTGGCAGATTAATTGACTTGTAAATAATTGGTAAGAACTTTTAATATAAATATTAGCACATAGAATTATTTACCAGAAGGACATGCAGATGTAAGTGATACAAGCATTTGAAGTGTACACATTAAAATATCTGATTTAGGGTTGGCAACAACAATAGGCCAAAGTTTATGAACTAAATCTGGTAATTCAGCTGAAGCATCTTCTCTAGCATCATTACATCCATGAAATAAATTGCAACAAAATTTCACAATTTCCAAATATTCTGATTGTAATATTTTCTAAAATATTTATACATATTATATTCATTGATCCATGCTAACACAATTATTGATTAATATATACATACTGATTTTTGATTTGATTGTTTAGTAACTTGTAGCTGCATAATTTTCAATTTAGAAATAATGAAATGTAATATGTCATTGTCATGCTTTGCTGTTTCATATGTGATTGGGTGTTCAATAAATATGTTTGATAATGCAATTAATAACATTTTCCGTTTTAATTTATGATGCCACTCCAAGAGCAATGTATGAATTAAAATGTTACAAACACGATGAGCAAACTCTAAATAAAATAAAAATAATATTTAGGTATTTTTTTAGAATTTTTTATTTAAATATTCAATACAGTTATTTTTTTTAGATTCCAATCAGAGCAAAAGAATGTATTTATTTTACAGATGTGTGTTTTTTTTTTTTGTTTCCGTCTGTCAGCCATATTTTGGTAGTAAAAATACTCTGACCTAACCTAACCTTGAAAAAATGGATTTTATTTTTTTGGAGTAACTTAATAATTAATAACTGTACCCTTGAAATCTTCATCAAATATTAATTTTATATTTTCTATAAATTTAAGAAATATATTGATTGTTTTTGGGCTAGTTAAAGCCTTGAGAAATTTTTCAAATATTGAAAATATATAAAAAATATATTTTTTTTAAAGCACAACATACCCGAGTAATTCCAAGATTAAATATAGGCATAAAATGAATTATTTACTTACTTTTAGATAGTTGTGGACATACTAAAGAAACTACATTTAATGCTTCAATACATAAATCTTTATTTTTGGAAGTTACACTAGTTATTAATGCAGTTATTAAATTATTTGTTATAACAAATGTTTTATAATTTGTATACTGTATAACTATTGTTGTCAGTCTAAATAATGATCTCCATACCATTGTTGTACAATAATCTAAAACACAATATTAATATTATAATTTGTCAATTAACTAGATAAATTATTGTAAAAATGTTCTATTTACCCAAATTAATATTAATCCTTTCATAGATAACATTTAAAGAATTTAATAAATTTTCAAAATTATAATTGCTAACAGGTATAAATAGTGTAAGAATGGAACATATACGACCACACATCTCCATGATATTAGGGTTTTCAATACTCATAGGAGTCGAATATTTTTTTAAGCACCTGTAATAAATAAGTATGATTATTAAACAATTTAAAATGTACACATTTATTTTTGTTATGGTGCATAACCACAAACATCTAATAATAAAGGAAGGAGAAGCGTTTTTATTGCTAAGTTAAATAATTTTATATTAAAGAAGATTTTGAGAGTTATGGAAATAGTTTTATAATATAAAATAAAATATATGGATTGATGAAGACAGGTAATTTGTCTGATTATAGTTGACAATTGATGAATAGTTCCTATTAAATTAGAAATGTATGAGAAATTGAGAGTTACCATTATGAAAATCTATGATAGAAATAGATAAAATACAGAGAAAAAAAACCAATAAGATTTGAAGAAAACAAAAATATCTATCGCTTCAGTATAATAAATTATGAAAAACATGGGGTATAATAGCTATTTATAAAAAAATAAAAGATGGAATTGAGGTGTGTTGCAGTAAACACATTCTAAGTTATATACAAGAGTTAAACAAATATAAAATATTTAGCAGCTTAATACTATTCAAAATACATACATGAAAAGTGCTTGTACAAATTGACTATGTTGATCGAGTTCATATAAATTTACTTCTGTCAATGTAAACATATTGAAAAACATGCAGCATATATTGGACACAAGTTTTGGAGATGTCATAAAGTGTTTTTTTTCTGTACAAGAACAACATTTGTTTTTCATTAATAATTATACTTATTTTAAATTTATGATAACATTTGAATATTTTACCCACCAGGTTTGGTATAGTCGTAATATGAACACAAATTAATAATTTGAACAAAAGCATCAAAATCCAATTTAATAATGCATTGGTGGCATAAACTCTGAAAGAAGTAAATAATATTATTTCAAACAAATTTATTGTTGATTTGATCAAGCAATAAACATTACTTTAAACTTAGGGAAGCAAAATAGATTTGAACAAAATAAAGCGGCTTGCTCGGCAACAACACAATTTTCCAAGCAACTTGATTCACAAAAATAACTAGAAAATAAATTTAAATTGTTATGTAAACTATAATAAGCAAGTATATTATATAATTGTATTAAATTAGGTAAAATAACTAAACATATACTTTAATGCAAGATGAATTAAATTATGTGATACTGGAATATCAATAACTGCCAAGCCAGCTGAAAATTGAAAGACTAGAGCGCGTACTAATACATCAGTACTGTGTATCATTGACCATGTCCATGTTTCCCAGTCGTACATACACCATACTTCAGAAATCTATAAGTAGAATATTATTTTAAAAATATGAATTAAACTTGGGATTACAACAATAAATTGTATAATTATTTTACATTTGGTACTAAAATTGTATGGTGAAGGATGTGGTTCAGGACAATTAAATAACTTCGCTGCAAACTTTTTTCATTCAAGTTATTCATCAGTATTGTTTTTAACGAAATAAATTGAGATAAATATATTTTTACAAAGTCTTTATCTATATTTTTTGGATTTTCCGTTAATAAAGTAAGACACTTCATATTAATTTGTAATAAAACTAAAAAATAATATGTATACTATTAGTATTATGCAAATAAATAATAATTCTTGAGTAGGTACTATTTAATGTGAGATGTACTTCAACTACTTATTGTTTTCATAACCACAAATATCAATAAAAAATGTATTGTTTTTATCAAATATTTGAAATTAATGTTTAAAAATTTTAGTTATAACAAATATTACACATTATTTTAAAGATAATCATAATTTAGTTCATAAAAAATAAATATCTACAAGTGATAAATGAGAAGAAAAATATTAAGAATCAATTACATGTCAGTGTTCTATATTATAATTAAATCTATTTATTTTAAATATACATTGGGCAATTCATTATAGTATGCTCACTCAGGGTTTTTCCTTTAAGTATGCATTTTTTAGGACATGTACTTTATGATCATACTTAAAATAATATTTAGATTTTTATACCTTTTAAGGACGTTCTTTGGTGATATAAACACAATTTTGTCCACTTTTTTTTTACTGTAAATTGTTAATCAAATGATTTTTATGATAGTTTTGATTAATAAAAATCAAAATCTGAATGAGTAGTTTCTGAGTTATTAAACTTTATGTACACAAGGACATAGGAGCAATTTGGGTTAAATTAATGGGGGTGTTGTGTTAGATTTATGTCGACTAAAGTGATCAGAGAAGGGATTTGCCCCCACACCCCCTTCTATTGATACACTTTCGCATTAATCTCAATATTAACAATTATCTAACACAATACATTATGAATTAGGTATATTATTGTTCTGATATTATTATTATGAAAATGATAAGGTCTTCAAAATAATTGTATTCAAATTTCTATGGCATAATATTATAGTCAATAAAAATTTGATGATATTATCAAATATTTGGGGATACTAATATGAATTTTGAAAGTGATTTTGCAAATCAAGCATCCCCCAAAATGGGCCTATGCATAATGATAATATAGCCCACAATAATAACCTTAAGAAGAATTTTAAGGCAATTTCTTTAATCAATTAACATTTTTTAAATTGATAAAATTATCTGAGTGTAATGCGCACTAAATACTAGATTTTTATATTTTATGTAGGTAAGACTTGAATAATTAAACATAAAATAAAAATGTTAAAAAACCCACTTTAAAATTTTTTGCTTTCTGCTTAACAATTTACAGCAAAGAGGGTGTGAAAAAATAATTTTTATTATGATAGGACACATCAATGGTATAAAAATCTAAATACTTGAAAATATCTTAAATAAGTGTTACTTCAATAATATACTTAAAATTAAAAAATCTAAATTTAAACAAATTCAGAATTAATGTATAATATCAAGTAAGGGTAGTGTAACCACTGGGTGACTCCTCCCATCACGTTTTCATGTTATAAACTTTTTTTAAAATATCACATATTCTTATTGTTCCTAAAAGAACAGATTGTATATACCTTATAAATAATAAAATAAAAAAAAAAAATGTATAAAGAGGGGATGAGCATTCTTGGTAAATTTATTGCACCAAGGTATTTAGATTTATGTGGATTTGTGATATTAACAATTAAGATACCATTCTAAATATTTATATACCAATTTCTTTTTTTGTAGATGCCAATCGATCAAATAACAGTTTTGTTAAATTTAAAGTTGAAAAATGGCTATAGTTTTTTATGCAAAGCCAATATACTTCATAAAGTTCAATACAAAATTGATTACACTAGAAAATAAAAATATTAATATTAATTTGAAACACTATGCATATTATATATATATATATATATATATTAATTACAAACCAATTGTTTTGATTTTTCATCTTTTTTAAAATCATCCGCCAAATTATGATGCATAGATTCAGATTTTGTTAATATTTCAGCTACCCAATTTAATTTGTTAATTAATACTCCTATACAAATATTATACATTAAAAAAATAAAAATTTTATAATTAATGTAATTCATTTTATCTAATTATTAGCATACATACTTTTTGTCAATGCAAAATGTAATAGTTTTAAAACGACGATTAATGTTTGTAAATCAGTTAAAAAAATTGGAGGCAATATCAAAAACTTTTTTAACGCGTTTTCAAATAGTTCTTCATCTACTTCAAATTGCTCAATGTATACACTTATTTCTAAATATCTGGGAAAATAGTAATATTATACATTAATTAAACTAACTTAGTATTTAGACTTTAGAGCATGTTCTTGAATTATAATAAGAATGATATCAAAATGTATGTTAAATTTGAATACAGTCAACTATAAGGAATGAACAGTTAAGAATTTTGAGTTGTATAAAATAAAAAATAATACCAGAAATCTTTCTAATAATATCGATTTTAGTCAAATTTAAATAACACAATTTTTGAGTGACGAAATATTCATGTTTCAATATAATTACACTTTTATTGGTCTTGTAAATTAAAATTTCAAAACAACTTCTTCGTGAGTAGGGTAGAACTAAAAAATGTAATTATTTTATTATTCTATACCCTGTTCCAAATAAGAAGGCACGAGCAAACCCGGTTATGCTACCTAAATCCAGTGGCGATAGCTTCCTCCCTCCATTGACTGTGCTGACCTCAACATTTTATCAAGATTCATAAAAAAATAAAAAGTGTAAATAAAAGACCTTTTGTATTTTTTTGTGAGACTCAGCCCTCCCCCCCCCTATACAAAATTCCTGGTTACGCCACTGCTTAAATTTGTCGTCTTCTTATTAAGAACAGGTTATATTATAGATATTAACTTTATGAGTAACTAACTAAATTTCTCTCATAATAACATCCATAGTTTTGTTTTTCTTCAAATTTAGTAGTAATAATTTGATGTAAAAACTGCACAAAGACAATAAATATATTTTGTATAAAAAATTAACAATATGTAAATTAAAATTTAAATGTAAAAAATAATAGTAAGAACACTATACAATGAAATTACATTTTATATTAATTATTAGAAAAGTTTGGTTTTCTTTTTTCAATGAATGCAGTCATTCCTTCCTTCCGGTCGTCGGTTGCAAAAGTTCCATAGAATGACTTCTTCTCAAATTGTAAACCTTGGCTTAAACTTGATTCATATGCATAATTTACAGATTCTTTACATAATGCAACAATTAAAGGTGAATGTTCACTTATTTTTTCGGCTAATTTAATAGCCTCGTCTACTAACTTTTCTGGTGGGAACACCTTACTAACTAATCCTCTAGATAAAGCTTCTTGAGCAGAAATCTGGTTTCCAGATAAACATACTTCCATTGCAAAACTTTTACCGCAAGAACGTATCATACGCTGAGTACCACCGGCTCCTGGAATGGTTCCAATCACAATCTCAGGTTGGCCAAATTTAGCTTTTTCTCCAGCATAGATTATGTCGCACATCATTGCTAATTCACATCCACCACCTAGAGCGAAACCATTTACAGCAGCAATAACTGGTTTCTTGCATTTACTCAGATTGTCCCATTGTTTGAGTAGACCAATTTTTAGGTTAGTGGAATAAGTCTTGTCAAGCATTTCTTTGATATCAGCACCTGCCGCAAATGCACGTTCACTACCAGTAACAACAATAGCTCCAATTGAATCATCGGCATCATAAGCAGATACGGCTTCAGTCAGTTCTGTGACCAAACCATCACATAAAGCATTCAAAGCTTTAGGTCTATTAAGTTTTACTAGGCCAACATTTTGTTTCTCACCAACTTTTTCAGTAATTATGTACTCCAAGTTACATGTGGACAACTTCATTGAAGTTATGGGTGTTACAATTTTCGATAGTGAAAAAATTAATTTTGATTTACACACTGACGACCTCAAAAAAATTGCCATTTTGAAGATTTTTATATAATAATGCCTTTGTTATAAGATTTTTTATTAGATCGAGAGAAATTTTAATATTTCTAGAAATAATCACTTCTTAGGTCTTATAACCTCAACGAACTGCACGTAAATAAATTAATATAATCTATAGTCAATGATTAATATTATCTTTCAAAGTCAAACCACGTCAAACGTTGAACTGTAGAGTGAGAGAGTGAGTAGTTACAACTGACTACAGGTTACAGACTACGTACAACGTACTCCGGACTTTGGACTGTACTTAAAAAAATAAAACTTAATATACCTTATGTAAATTGTAATGCCTGCCACCAGGTCTTGAGGTATATACTATATAATACTACAGATACACTCTATAAAAAAACAATAATATATATCTATAGATAAATACAATAAGGTTAGGTTGTATAATATTATCTAAAGCTTTAAAGGGGGGTTCACACTACACCGTGTCGTGTAAAATAATCACGGTTACCACAGTTACCAAACGATACCGCATAGTTGAAAATATTCAACTTTTGACCGTGTGGTTACATTTATGTGTAGATAAAGCCGGGTTCATACTTAATGTAACCACACGGTCAAAAGTTGAATATATTCAACTATGCGGTATCGTTTGGTAACTGAGGTAACCGTGATTATATTACACGACACGGTGTAGTGTGAACCCGCCTTTATACAACAGCTATATTACCGAATACCGGTTTGACTATAAATTGTAATCACTATTTTTTTTTTTTATAACCAGGTAGTAACGTAGTACCACAGATATATACATTTTTTATATAATATCTATAACTACACCCTACTACCGTCTACCACAGAACAAGTACGCTAGTTATTATAATATTATGTAGTTGGTATGCTACAATCTCAGATAATACATATTAGTACATTACATATTATACTGATTACTGGATAGAGCTTTAATTTAAAATCTTGAAGCCGATGTGGTCGGCTCGTTCGGCCCCAATGTCGCCACTGAGCATGCGCAACTCCACTGCACATGCCCAAAACATTACCGCAATTACGTTACCACATCCCGCGCGCTATCTTTTTAATTTAACGCATGCTCAATAAATTCATCGGGGCCGACCGTAGATTACGCATGATAATAATATACGCAATGCATGGCTACAACAGTATTGATCCCCTCAACTCAAAAAAGGTGGGTAAGTGGGTGTCGCTCTGCTGTACAGTAGGTTACAAGTGGGTCACTGTAATGGTTGGTGTTAAATTATAATTCAATGATTTAATATCATCGTATAAGAAAAACGATTCTGAGCGAAGACTATGAGTCAGCCTATGATATTACTACAATACTACCAAGTATATTTGATGATATTATTGTGAATAAAGTAATTTATATATAACCTATTTACGTGGAACCTTGTTTTAAATTTTCAATCCTTAGCTGTAAAACATAGGCGTGCGCACGGGGTGTTCCGGGTGTGCCTGGGCACCCCCTGACATTTAATTGGGGCCCTAAAATATTTAATATTTATTTGATGTTTAGCATTGTACAAGTTGTTCATATGAACAGGTAGTTATATTTGAAATTAAATATTGTGAAAAGTAAATTCAGAAGTATCATGACCCAATACTGTTTGGAATCATTAATTTTACTTTTTACGGAACAAGAAATGGCCTCTAATGTTGAAGTAGATTTAGTTATTACTTATTAATGAGTTTAATAATTTAAGTAATAGACGCATATTATTATAAATCTATAACTGTTGTATTAGAATGTTAAATAAACATGTAACTAAGTAAGTAATATTTATTTGTACAATATAATTTACTAAAATATGTATTATGTACAATGTACATGTCTTGTTAAGAGAGGGCCCAAGTTAAGGAAAGGGCCCAAAAATATTGTAGGAAACTAGGAACCCCCCGAAATCCAAGTCTGCGCACGCCTATGCTGTAAAAGTTGAACATTTTAAACATTTTTAACTACAAAATAATTATTAAATTTTGTTAAAATTTAAACTTTAAATTGTGATTATGTATTTTTAATATTTTTCATCTGTCTTTGAAACTATATATAAGGAGCCTTCTATTAAATTTTCAAGTTTTTTTACCCAACAAATAAAATTTCTTTGATACATATGGAATAAAAAACTAAAAAAATTGGAAACTGAAAATGTACGTAAACATTTCAAAATAAGTCGTAATATTTTGAAAATGTTATGGTGTATAGAAAATGTTAATATAAAAATTCAGTCGAAATTTCATGTATCTATTGTTTTACAGTTACACCAAAAACCAAAATCGATTTTGAGTAAAATTTCCCGTTTTTCCTTAATTTTTCTTTTGTTTTTCACGGCGTTTTTGAAAACTACTGGAAAATGTTTACTTTTGAACCCCCCCAAAATACCAACTAGATTCACTTTACTATCAGAAAAGATACTGTTAAAGAAAATCCAAGCACTTTTACTGTCCTAAAAGGTGATGACAGACCCAAAAAATTTACAGATTATTGTAAAATCAATACCTACATTCATCGCTCTGCTCAAAATCTTATACAAAATTGCTGAATTGCTGATAAAAAATAAAATTATCGCCAGATCGTGTACAAGGTGGATCAATCACATAGTTAGAGATCTTATATTGACGGAGCAAGGGTTTTCATGATCTTGCCAGGCTCGGTGTCCTACTGGTATAACTGTATTCGAGGTCAGTGGCGGATTTTCAACACATTTCTGTGGTGGGGTGGGGCGGGAAGGGGGGTCCCTAAAATATTATATTATATATGTCAAAGGTACCTATTATTTTCATTTTTATAAACGTATAATTGGTGTATATTTAGTTGTAATGAGTTGTAATTTCAGAATTCTGAATTTGAATATTTTGTATTTTCGTGTGTAGTGTAATAATGTTCTGATTCAGATGTCATATAAGAAACGATCTTAGATTTTGTATTATATTAATATTAATTTATCAATTATCAATTATCTAACATCAGAGTCTAAAAAATGAAAATCTGACACAATAGAAATTCTAAGCCTAAAAAATACTACTAAATAAATTTTATAAAACATCACTGAAGAATCGAGGGTAATTTTCAATACTCTGTTATTTTGTAAAATGTACTTGTATAACACATTAATTATGGTTTTTCACTCTCATTAAATACTGAATAGTAAAAAAATATCTAGATATCTTCATTATTCCCAAAATCTGTATTATGTCACTGTCAAGATTATAAGCAATAGAACTTCAACATAAAAAAATTGCTTTTGGATATTTTTGTAAGCATTAATTAACGTTTATAGTTACTATATTATTATACATAGGTTACAGTTTCTATTAGAAAGCCCATATTATTTATAAATAATTTATTATCATGATCATAAAGATTGTTGAGTATACGTTTAAACAAAAATTATAAGTTATTGTAAGTATAAGCTATACTAAATTAATGAAATTGTTACCTCTTTAAATTATCAAGAATGGCTAATGCTACTTGATGTGACTGGGCAGCAATTAAATCAACCAAGCATTTTTTAACTGACCATTTAATGCAGGCTTTTCTAAAACGTTGAAAAACATTGTTGAATACATCGTTTTGTGAGCTTCCAGTGAGGCCATTTTCCAAAAATACATCAATACTATCATAATGTTTCAAATGCCATGTTAGTATTAAAACTTCCATACAATTGTGGTTCTCTTTAATTCCTAAAATAAATAATAAATAAAATATATTAATTCAAATAAATTTGATGGCAACAATTTTGTATGGTTAATCTTACTTGAAAATAACATAGTATCATCAGAATTATTAGTTGTATAAGAGTACTTGTTGAATTTAATAGGAGTATTTATTTTATTCACAACTACTTTTGGTATTTCTCCAAAGTAAGTTAAATATTGATTGAAAATACAATAAAAAAAAATTTGGAACACATACTGTTTTACAAGTGGAACTTCATGGAAATCAGATAGAACTGTAATATATAAAAATGTTTTTAGTATAATTGTATAAATATAAAAGATTATAGTATTATAATTGATGCACCTGCGATTAATTGAAGTTGTATTTCAATATTATTTGCTAATAAGTTATGATCAGTAATAGTTATTTTTTTTTTCTTTGTGAAACATAAAGTTAATTTTAATAATGCAATTAACAAGCCACGTTCATTAACAAACAGCTAAAAAATATTTGGTGATATTAATAGATAATTCAAATCAAATCATAAATAGTAATCACTCAATACTTTTGATGATTTAAGTAAATTTAATATAATATCCATTCCTCCATTATGAATAAAATGTTGTTGAAGATGATTATGTTCAAGTATTACTGATATTTTGTATAAAGCACATTTAATAGTTTGATGACTTGAGCATTCATTAGATATTAAATCTATCATATCATCTAAATCCTTTTTCTAAAAATACATACAATTATAAATCATACTCAATACTCATTTACTTCTGATTAAATACTGCGGTAGCTTGTGCCCTACACCAAAAGACTCAATCAAATAAGTTGAATTCAAATAATTAATAAATTAAAACATAATATTATGTCGGACATAATAATAATAATATAGTCAGATACAACAAAAACCAAAAAAAAAAGTATATGGTGAGGATTTTTTCAGTTATAATCATTAATAATAGTTCAAATAGTTATAATAATTGCAAATTATATCTATTTCAATGTACAAAAATTATTATACAACTATTAATATTTGTTCAGGTACATGAATTACGGGTAGCTGGCACAGCTACGCAACAAAATTAGAATTAGTAGGTAAAAATATAATATTTCAAAATTATTTAGTACATTTACAAGGCGTACAGTATAATTATAAAATGTTGTTTCCCATCTCTTCTAAACCTCACCAGCCAGTACTGTATAATCAATTATAAATTTAAAATAAGAAATATCCATATAAATTACATACATTATATTCACCAACAGGTTTGTCTACATGTTCATTTACTTCATCAATTTCCATTAAAAAAATATCATTTGGCAGTTTAATGTTCCTATTTAGAGATGTTTTAAAAATCCATGTTATTCTATTATTTGCTTCAACCCGAGATTTTTTATCTTTGCTGAACAACATTGCAACTGTTGAATGAAGTAGCTAAAAATTAAATTAATTATTTAAATATAATATAAATATGATACATTTTATTATGGTCTTTAAAAATATATACAAATAGAAATTATAAAGTCAAAACTACAAAGGTAGGTAAATTATTTGATATTGATTTAAGTGTTACATTTGGAAGATACTTAGAAAAGATACTACAATAATAATAAACAAGTTACAAAAAACAATAATTTTAAGAAGAAAATGTATTCCTTGAATTAGTTCTTTTTTTTCAGTTAAATTAAAAAACCATTAACATAAAAAGATAAAAATAATAATGTATAGTAATTTATTGCTAGTGAACTCTTTATACTGAACTGCATTTCAAAAGACCCAAATTTCAATTGAGAAAATACATAACAATCAAGGGAGTACTCATAGGCGTAGCGAAATTAATTTATTTAGGGGGTGCTATAACCTATTATATTTCTGGTGCACAACATATATTCTAAAAATGTAACTAAAACAAATTACAAAATGGGAGGCCTAAACAAAATTCCAAGGGGACTTATAGCCTCCTTGGACTAACCTCCATTCTATGCCTATGAGGGAGGCAGGGTCATGGGATTTAACCCCCTTATTTATTGTGGACCGATAGCCTCCATACCTTATCCACGATTCCTGAGAACAACGCTGATAACAACCATTTATTAACCTAACTTCATAAATATATCAAAACAATCATACAAAATAAATATATAACAATAACAATAAAAGTATAAATTTTTAATTATAACATACTACTAATTTTGAAATATTGAGTTTCTCTGCTTGATCGGGGTCAAACAAATCCAAAACAATTTGGCCCAGACTAGATGTTTGGTCAGCATAACAATATAATACTGGAAAGATTGGAGCTAAATTATTTAAAAAATATTTCCATTGATTATTATTTATAATGTTTTTGTTTTTTATTATCTGTTCTATAATTTCTGATGCTGATTGACATATCTAAATACAATAACTTTATTTTAATTATCAATAGTTTAAAAAATAAAAATAAAATACCTCTTTGTTTGAATTATTACAGCCAAAACATATAATTTCATTTAACACATTAGTACATAGTAAATTGTTTGATAACCGGTCAAATTTTTTTGATTCAAAGTTTAAATGATTAAATATTTTCTTCAGTGTATTATTAAGCGCTAAGTATGTGTGTAATACAACATCAATAGATTTAAAAGAAAGCAAACTTAATAAAATGTTGCTGTATTCTTTCTGATTATCTGTTGTTTCTGTTAATTTTCTAAAGAAAATAATAAAAAAAAAATTTTAGGAAAGTTGTAGTCTTAGATTTGAATAGCTAATTTAAAATTTTACTATAAGGTAAATGTAATTCTAAAATAAGCAACTTAAATGATAATTATTTTTAAATAAAATATTTTATTATTTATAATACCTGTAGACTGTAGTTATTTTACTAGTACAGTTTTGAAGAAAAAGTTAATTTAAATAATTGATCAATCTAAATATTGATAATTCTGGACCGTTTGAGAATAAATAGTTAACAGAAAAATAATAATACAATAAGTAAATTTAGAGAATTTTTCAAATATTTATTACAATATATTGACTATATTTTTTTTTTTGGTTCCATCACTGGATGGGCTCCTTCCTCATATCATATTAACATTTGAATAAAATGTACTATATTGTAATCATAATTTTCTAATAAAAAATAAAGTGTTTTTTATTTTAAACATCTAAGACTTGAAAATTAAATACATATTTTTTTATAAAATACTTAAATAGGAAAACAAGTTTAATACAAGAAAACATGCATTTTTTACAAGCAATTGATGTTCAAATGTTGACGACATTGGAAAAAGAAAAACATTGAAAAAATCATGACTTCTCTTCAAAAAATATATAATAGAATAAAAAACTTGAAATGTTCTACCCATCCAAAATTTGGTTAAGTCATTTAGAGTCATATTTTTAACTACCTGTCGTAAATTCTTAAATACTAAATACCCATTGGCTATTATCCACTTAGCCAACTCTCAATTACCCACTTCGCTATGCCTCTTAAGAGTTAAGGCTGTTGAAAGCAAATAGTTTTTAAGGGTTCGGATTTATGCATTATTATATTATACCCATCGTGAGTTATGTGTGACTGTGTAGTGACTGATCATTAGTGTGAGTGATTTTACTTTATGTAATTAAAGATAAACTATGGCTAAGATTCTTGGAAATCATAAACGCACCTATACCCAGTCACACGTCAATAAATTCAAATAAGTCCCAAAAAGGGGAAAAAAATTCACACAGTACCAAAAACCTGATTTTAATTTTGAAAACATATTTGAATTCTTTATTCTATTTTCTAGGTTATGTAGAAATGGATTTTCGATTTTTATGTAAAAAAATCCACTTAGTACAAATAGTCTGATCTTAATTTTAAAAATATATTTGAATTCCTTATTCTCTTTTCAAGGTTATGTAACAAATGGATTTTTGATATTTTTTTTTTAGTAAAGGTGAATTTTGAAAAAAAAAAATAAGAAAATTAATTTGGTACTATTTTAATTATACAAATTATAATAAAAAAATTATATAATTATACAAATTAAAATAGTACCAATTAATTTTCTTATTTTTTTTTTCAAAATTCACCTTTACTAAAAAAAAAATATCAAAAATCCATTTGTTACATAACCTTGAAAAGAGAATAAGGAATTCAAATATATTTTCAAAATTAAAATCAGACTATTTGTACTAAGTGGATTTTTTTTCCGCTTATTGTCTAAATGCAATTAAAAACGACAAAAAAATTACCAGCTTTCAACAGCCTTAAATATATGTATAGTTTATACCACTTACGCATATTTACACGTGTTTGAAATAAATTTATCAATTATATTAAATTGTTTATGGAAACATATAATAGGTAATGAACTTTTAAATAAATTTGCATATTGTGTTATATCCAAGTTGGAAGTGGATGATAAAATATATGCATCTTCAACCCTTTTGATAATTTGTTGTTCTAACAGTTCTTCCTAAAATAAAGGAAAAATATATTAATTACTAGTTATACATAATACGGTAAGGTTTTATTTTAAAATCCTGTTAAATTATTACTTACATTAATAACTTTTTTGTACAGTTGGTGGTACAATTCAGGATAAAGATGAATCCAATATGGTTGCTTAAGTATGTCACAAATTATTACTTTAAATTGCTCATTAGGTGAACCATGTTTTAGTATTTCCTTAGCAATAATTAAAAACTTAAGTGAAGATAGAGGTTCATTTCTAAAAAAAATGAGTATGGTAAGGAAAATATAAAATAGTTTTTTTTTTTTTTTTAATTTGTTGATGCATATTTTATGTTAACCTTAATACTTACAATAGTATATTTTTTATTGTATAATCAGAAAATACTAAATCTATGTAAAAATTAATGTTACAACTGTTAGATATAGATGATAAAAGATGCATGCTGGACATAAACAAAGAGAAAGCTCCGCCACTATTAAGGCTAACATGTTTCAATAGTACCGGCATCAGTAAAACACAAAATTTGGCAATACCCCAGCGTGAAATTTCATCCTAGAAATATGTGGTATAAATGCATGATTAAGAAAATATAATAAATACAAAAATGTCCATAGTTATCATAAAATTATAAAATACTAACATTAGTTGTAGATTCACTATACGTTCCTCTTATCGAAATATGAGAATTAGAATCATAATTTGAATTTATACTTTCATTGTTTTCCTGAAATAAAAATATTTAAAATCTTCTATAATAAAACTGTTCAACAATATAAAATAGAAATAGCTATATATTTAAAAGAAAAAAATATTTAGGTCTATATTGTACAATGTACCTACATAATTTAAACCATTATTAGAATCAAATATTTAGGCACCCAAAACGTTTTAAAGGCCCTACAGACATAATTTATAATACTTCTAAGTTATTTTACATTATAGGTTGAGTTTTAGATTTTATTATAGGTGTAATGAATGTCTATTAGATTGAGCACAGAAATTTGTTTATTTGTTTGACATATTGAAAATTAAATAAACTTACACATAAACCGGTAGTACATTCATGGTGTCTTCTTATTAATTTTTCTACCAAATAAATTAGACATTCCAGTATTAACTCTTTTTCTTTATTTTCATTCAGCCATTTAATTAATTTCTAAAATTTAAACATTTTACTAGGTATACAAATAATATTGATAAATAAATAATCTTAAATTTAAAATACCTGAATAATTAATGGATGCTGTAAAAATATTTCTGTTTGAAATTCGCAAAGAATTTTATTTTTGAGCATATTACAAATCTCAGAAACAGATGATTCATTTAATGAAAAATTATTTTCATCCAATAACCATTGACTGTTTTGACATAACTCAAGAACTTCAGGAAAATACCAATCCATACCATTTGTTTGATCATAAGAAAAATCTGAGTATTCATCCAAATTACTGGATACATCTTTATAATCATCGGTATCAACTATTAAACCACCATCACTGGCCCACTCCCTGATAATGAGACAATATTTTAAACAATCAAACATAACTTGTGTGATACAATAGAGGTACATTGTAATGTAGGTATTATATTAATTTAATTAAATATTCTTACGTTGACATTTTGAAGTTTATAGAATCAAAAACTCAATTATTTTCAATGATTTCTTATAAATTTACAAAATTGAAAAAATAAATGACATTAGTACCAACAATAGAATAAACACTTATATATATATATATATTATACACTAAAAATTATAAATTATATTAAATCAATATTAAAATGAATAATTAGATTAATTTAATTTCAAATGTAGGTACTAAAATCAACTACATAGTCATCACTCATCAGTGTATTATGACACGGTCGATACCGATAACATTTTATATTCAGATATTTAATAATGTTTAATACAACTTTAAACCTTAAATAATACCATACTAGACGTTAACAAAAACAGATTATTTAAATATTTTGATTTAGATGAACTACCACAACAATATATATTATATAAAAAAAAAATAGAATTCAGATATATTAGTATCTATATCCGTGATTATAAAATTATTTTCAATTTCAATAACAATAACGTATTTTTTGTTATCATAAAACCACAGAATTCTGTGATAAGAGGTCGGTATGCTCCACCAGGTGACGTATCACCTAGATCCCCGGTTAACAAGATCCCCATGGTTATCTAGATCCACGATCAAGGTCTTATTACCTTATTCAACCGGGCAAATTCGGCCGATTAAACTCCGTTTAACTTTAATCAGAGTCCAGAGATGGTACCTATATAAGAACTAGGCCCTAAGACCGTGTCCACGATTATAAAGAACTTGTAAGAACTTATCAGCAGTTCCGCACTAAGCCAAATTGCTATATAGACTTGGGTAAAATACTTTTTAAAAGTATTTCAAATACATATTCCGAATAGGTACGGAATACGTGAAAAAAAGTATTCAGAATATGTATTCGAATACTTTATGATAATAATATTCCTAAGTATTTGGAATACTTCACAAAAAGTATTCCAAATATTTTTTGAATTCTTTTTTTTTGGTAAATTTAGATTTCAATGGCAAAAATATTAATTTTTCAATTCTGTGTTTATAAATGAACATTATTATAATCTCGATAATATACACACATATCTGGCTATCTATTTAGTTATAAATTATATTCAAATTAATATAGTTGATAAGTCATGGCCGCATTTGAATATTTCCGACCCGGGGAAACATATTTTTCCACCCTCCCATAAACTTATTTCTTAAAATGTAATGTCCCTTTTATTTGGGTCATAATTTATAAATGTGGTTAGATTTTGAAAAAAATTTTTTGAAAACCTTTGTTTTTCCTTTGGTAAGAACAATCAATGATGCTAACAGAATTTTTCGGTCGGACTTCGTTCTAAAGTTATTATTATTGTTAGTATAAAAATAGATTTGAGAGAATGTCATCGTAAAATAAACTTAGTAGAAATTTCCACCAAATCACAATACATCAGGAAAAAAACGTTTTACATAATTTCAAAGTTATAACTATGTTGGCTTAATAATAAAAAAAAGTTCATCAAAATTTACCGCCCCTCAAGTTTCACCAGGAGGGGCCAATGGTCCACCCTGGCCCCCCTAAATACGGGCCTGTGATAAGTAATAATTAGTAATATTTATGAGTATACCTATATAAGAAAAAAAGTATTCCGAATACTGTACTCAGAATACTTGTAAAAAGTATTCAAAATACCTTATTAAATATACTTTCAAAAAAAACTATTTAAAAAGTATTCCGAAAATCCGAATACTGTATTAGTAATACTACCCAAGTCTACAAATTTCTACTCCGGGGCAATATAAAATTTGCCAATATTTTTTTTTTTTTGAAAAACATAGGTAATATGAATTTCCCATATGCGAAAATCCATTAAAATTTCAGGGGGGGCTAACATTATTAGCATCAATGTGAGTGGGGGGGAGCGTTGATCCTACAAAACTAAAAAAGGATTGGCTTGACGGACTTTTGGCCTTTTTAGGCCCCTCATCAAGCCTCCTCGATTTAACGAGTTTCCCCATTTTAGATTCTGAGTGAAACGATGAATGTATTGATTTTACAATGATTGATTTTACAATTTTTATTTTTGTGTCTGTGTACACGATAAGTAGTCGAAATAATGCTTCGATTTTCGACTTCAGTATCTTGTTCGATTGGAAAGTGAATATCGTTGGTGCATTGGGGAGGTCAAAATTTAAAATTCCCAGTACTTTTCAAAAGCGTCAAGAAAAACAAAAGAAAAATTAAGGAAAAACGGGAATTTTTACGCAAAATCGATTTTTATTGAAAATTGAATTTGGTTTTTGGTGTAACTTTAAAACAAATGACCGGAGATACATGAAATTTTCACTGGTTGCTTATATTTGCATTTTCTATACACCATAACATTTTCGAAATATTTTGATTTATTTTGAACTGTTTAGGGACATTTTCATTTACATAAATACTATAGTATTTATAATCAATGGTACCTACTACAAACAACGAACAGCAGTCGCGCACTGTCAAGCTCTCGTGGAACTCAGAAAGTTTTAACTTTTCGGTGTTGGTTCACACAGATCACAGATGGCGCCGTACCTATGATCGTGAATTTATCGTCGATCGACTGCTCCAGAACTGACATATTTTATCATATTATTTTTTAGGGCAATTACAATCTGTAATTTGTAAAAGTGTAAAGTGTGGATTTTATTTCTAAAAAAACAACATTATTAGGAACCGTTAAAAAAAAGATTAACCGATTTTTCGCTTTTATTACCATGTGATTCCTTTAACATAATAGATACTCACTATTTTGAAAACTATTAACGTTTTTCAAAATATTATTTTACATATTAGGTAGATAGTTTTAAATAAATTATTAATAGGTAACATTTTCCTAAAAAAATATATATTTTTACTATTTTTATCGAATTATTGTTTTTTTTTTTTAAATTATAAAATGTATTTTTAATTCCTTATTCCAAAGCAGAATATTGTATTGAGTACCTACCTCGAAATATAAAAATTGAATTTGGAATTATTAGTTATATTTAAGTATTTTAAGTTTTATTTTTAGTTGAGTCGAGTGATACACGGGTACCCAGCAAGACATGTTGGTCCACTACTTGTATACTTAAACATTAAATATTTATAATATCTACTTACTTTTAAAGAATTTCATTGCTGTGGATCAAAATACTCAAAATGATATTCTGCTTAGAAATATGAAATTAAAATTAGTTAAAAAAACGTGAGTTATAAGTTGTTATTCAATTAAATGTACCAACTCTATATGACTCTAACTCAATTCTTTATTTAATATTAGGTGTATCGTGTATGGTGCTCAACATTTATCGTTCCGGAATAAAAATCCTGATTCCCAGCAATATATTAACAGGTAGGCAATCTACCTGCTGTAGATCGTGGACTCCGTGTTGTTTGTACGTAAGTGTATAATTTAACTCTAAAGTATCAAAGTTATACCAAGTTTGTCGTATTCCCCCTATAGTGGATTATAATATAATCAATTAATATAAAATCTTAACCTAACCTAACCGTACTAATATCAGATGAATAAAAAATACCAAATTTAACCATTTTTAAATTAGCGTGTCTTCTTCCCAGAGGTCTAATCTACACACAAACATTAATTTATATATATATATTGACAAAAAATAATAATACAAATCAAAAAATATGACCGATTAACCATAATAGCAACTAATATATACCTAATACACTGTTCCGCCATTGTTGTATTTTTTACATCCAGATTTCCTACTTTTCCGGTGGATTTTCCTACAACCTAAAACCTTCTCCTGGCAATTACGAACATCTTAAAAAAAATTTGAGCCAAATCGGACCATCCGTTCTCGATTGATGACTGATGAGGTAATGACAATTTTTCACTCTTCATTTTTATATAATATATATAGATTACCAAATATGTTGTTTTGTTTAACGACCCTAATTAATATTTAATTATGTAGGACGTAGGTAAAAGAAATATTTACAAAAACGTTAATGTTTTCTGAAATAGTAAGTATCATAAGATTAGTTACACTTAAATAATTAATTATTATTAAACAGTTGCTAGCAGTGGCGCAACCAGGGGGGGGGTTTGGGGGTTGTGACCCTCCCCGAAATTTTTCTGATGTTTTTACAAATTCTACGTAGGAAAAAAAATGTTTATCTTGCACACGCGAAACGGCTGATTGATATGAAATATTAATATTATTCGTATCCATAGACGATAGACATCATACTCAGTATAAGGTATTATGTTCATATCACGGTTGCAGTTAGTTTATGGTTGTAAATATATAACCGTGATTCGTTCGTATTATGATTGATAACAATGATATAACATGAATTCCGTGATATAACATGAGTTACGTCCATGAACTACTACACAGGACTGGACACTACAGAGAAAATCACGGACACAAAGTTGTACAGGGTTCGTACACATGCGATGTAACTGCACTCTGCCTGTTAGTAGTACGAACTACGTTTTTTATAGGATAACACTAAAGAATAGTGATATTAGTGATAATAACTGATAATAAATTTACTTTTTAATTTTTGAAAAACAATTATTAATAACACAGTTCAAGATAATAATGATACTATTTATAGAATATTATCAGAAAATAATTACTGCTTAAAGAGTGAACAGTTTAAGCATGAACTACTAAGGCGGTATTTTATATAACAAAATATTTCTTATCTCACAGATGGCGCTGTGTCGCATGTGTACCGAATATGTACAACTTTGTGGACGACCCCCTACTCTCCTCCTGCCAATAGTGTCCAGTCCTGTGTAGTAGTTCATGGTTACGTCACGGACTAAGATATATCTTAGTCCGTGGTTACGTTCAATTTCCTTGCAACTATGATTCTCGATAGTCGATCGTATAATACTTTTTTTGTGGTATCACTCATGGTATCACAATATGATGCCGGTGTGCGTGAAAAGATAAAATGTTTCAAATGTTTGAATGTTCTAAGACCGTGGTGGCGTGGTGCGTAATATAAATTACAATTTTGAATTTTGCAACGTTAAAAGTTATAAATCGTAGTAACTAAAAAGAAATAGAAAAAAAAATAGGAAATGCATTCTACCAATAATTAAAACCGTTATATTTTGTGGTAGACAGGGAATCGCACTTAGAGGTCATCGGGAAAATAAACCACTTATTAATCAAAATGACACAAGTACTGAATTGGCTGTTACTAATGATGATAATGACGGAAATTTCAGACAATTATTAAGGTTTAGAGTAGATTCTGGCGATAAAGATCTTGAAGATCATCCACAAAATAGTGCTAAACATGCACTATATGTTAGTTGGAAAATCCAAAATGAGATTCTCATGGTGTGTAACAATTTAATTCTAAAACAACTTGTAAAAGATATAAATAAATCTAAAGGGTTCACTGTATTAGCTGACGAAACAACTGATATATCAAACAAAGAACAGTTGACAATATGTGCGAGATACGTCCATACTGAGCAAAAAAAGATTCGAGAAGATTTTTTGCAGTTTGTAGAAGTCAAGGAGGTCACTGGACAAGCATCTATCTATAAATAGAAGTTAACCCGTTTAATTTTTAGTTTAAATATTTTACTCATAAACCTAACTTAATCTTACCCCCTTTCCCTACCAAACATCTGTCGAAAATGATTTCTTTTTTTCCAAATCTACTATCTACAACCCCCCCCCCGAAAACGAATCCTGGTTGCGCCACTGGTTGCTAGTCAGACGTAAGTCGTGATGCAATTTATTATAATTTATAATGATATGTTGCTTTACATGTTCACAAAGTACGAACTAGTTAATTAAACGACATACCTACGCCGGTACGCTTATAAATTATAATACTATATCAATACATAATATTACTATAGGTAGGTACCTAATGTCTAAATCACGGACTAAGATATACAGGACTGGACACGACAAGGTTGGAGGGTGTGGCGGGGTTGACTACGAAATGTTTTACAACAGGCGGTGTTCGCGGGGATATTTTCCTTTTAGCATTACTAGCGCCGTCCTAGTGGATACTTATGGAACTAGAACACATCATACAAATTTCTAGTTCCATAAGTATCCACTAGGACGGCGCTAGTAATGCTAAAAGGAAAATATCCCCCCGAACTCTGCCTGTTGTACAACATTTCGTAACCACAATATTCATCTCGTGTCCAGTCCTGTATATCTTAGTCCGTGGTCTAAATGATGACCATACAACTGATGTGGTACCAACCTAATTTTGTGCTTAAGGTAGTCAATCTTCAATTATATAATTTATGACTCGAGAAGACTTGAAACACGATAGCTTGAAACAACGGTTATAGACGTTTAAGAAGCAAAAAAAAAAAAAATTAAATTTTAATCTAATATAGTAGTTATTAAGCATGCACGCGTATTGGTAATTGCATGGTGTGGGTTTATATTTTAGATAATTTAAAACACGAACAAATAAATATTTGAAAGTTTATGGCTATTTTTTAGGTATCATTAGTTATTACTATAATACCCATAGCAGGTATTATTACTTTTATTAAACTTCTACATTTAGATAAACAAATATTAAGTATAAGCAACTGTTTATATTATTAAAGTTAATTTATATTCTTTGAAAGAGTCATGCTCTACCATTTGGTGTTGTTGTCGGTGGGAGTAGAATTCATATACATTTAATTAACTAAGAGGCATGTTAAGAATAAACAATTATGCATATTAAAATGGTCACAAGAAATGGACTACACAGCGAAATATTAAAATATCCACGGAGTGTTTATAAGTAACACAAAGAACCCAGAATTATGATTTATGATCACCAATAACATATTTTCAACAAAAAAAAAGGTGGGTAAGTGGATGTCGCTCTGCTGTACTGTCAGTGGCGTAACTTCAAAATTTGGGCCCGGGAGCGAAATTTTCAACGGGCCCCCCCATCGTCCAGGTACCTATATATATTAAGAAGATCCGAGGGAGTGTATTCACCTTACTAAAATAATTAAAAAAATTTTTTTTAAATAATAGATATTAATTTAATACTTCATATTATATACATACAAAAAAAATTAGTAAACAGTTATAGCAGTTGTAATAAATAACAATTAACTCAAAACTTAAAACATTCTTCTGGACTTCTTATTTGCCAAAGTAGAAATAATATCTGATGTATTAATTTCTTTCGCAATTTTCTTTTCTATTGATATTATTGCCAAACTTGACAGACGAATTTGAGACATCGTACTTCGAAGATAGTTTTTAATTATTTTGAGTTTAGAAAAACTTCTTTCTGCGGTGGCCACCGTCACTGGTATTGTCAAAAAAAGAAAACAAGCTGTACATAAATCTGGAAAACTTGCTGCTATTAAATAATTGTCTACAATTATAAATTTTGCCAAGTCATGTACAGAATTTAATTTTGAAATTTGATTTTCAAACGAACGTTTAAATTGAATAATTTGGTTGACCAAATCTATTGTTAAATCATGTTCATAATTGTTTACCAAAGAGGTAGTTAAATGTTTAAGTTCATTTTCATTCATTGAACATATATTAATTGGTAATATTGAAGAAAAAAGTTTTATTACTTGGTTCATACCATTAAAACGGTGTTCGAGTTGTTTGATAATTATGTCCAGAGTACGATAATAAATTTGTGTTTTAAAATATTGTTCAGCATCATGGAGACGTTCATCGTTACTTAATTCATCAAAAAATTTAGTTGTTTTTGTTTTTCTTATTTTAGTGAACGTTGGCTCAACTCCCCACGAAATTGCTATTTGTTTAGCTTCCTCAAACACTTCTTCAAATTTATTACGCATTTCTTTTATTTTATTTAAGGCTGTTTGAAGCAGTTCAAAAGCTTTAAGTAAGTCTATATCCGATTTTTGTAGCAATAGTGATACAATTTGTAATGAGTTGAGAATTTTGGATTCGATGACAATTATTAAAATTACATCAAACTTTTGAAAATAGTTTTGAAGACCTGAGGCTTTACTTTTTTCATCTTTATTTCTACCCATAAGTGAAATATATGCTAAAAGTTTTAAAATATCTACGTAAAGCAAACTAAGCGCTTTTAAACAATCATTTCGTGAAGACCATCGAGTAGTACATAGTCTTTTGAGTGAAACAGACACAGAACTCACTGATTTTAAGTGTGCCCACCTTTTAATACTATTTGCAAAATATGAATAAAGGCATTCAAGTTTTTCATAAAAATTTTGAATTTCAGTAATATTTTTAACCGAGTCATTAATTACAAGATTTAAATTGTGAGCGGCGCAATGCACGTATAATGCAAGTGGCTGAGTGTGTTTGATACGTGCTTGTAATCCACTATAAACACCACTCATGTTAGCAGCTCCATCAAATCCAATCCCTCTTAACTTTTTAATATCAATTTTATTTTTTTCAAAATTATTGTATAGTTGCTGTTCCATTTCACTACTCGTTTGGCCCTCCATAATTTCAAATCCAATGAAACTTTCATGTATAACTATGTCAACTGGTTTATTTTCTTTATCATACATCACATTTACATAACGAAATATATGGCTTTGTTGATCAATTTTGGATATGTCTTGTGTTGAGTCAGAAATATAGCTGAAAAATGGAGCTTTTCTTATTTCTAGTAAAATATCATATTTAACTTTATCTCCTAGTGCTGTAATTATTTCATTCTGAATTGCCGGACTTAAATATTTTATGGTTCCTTTAGGTCTTTGGAGTAATTCTGTAAGTACCGGGTCGTATTTACCTAACAATTCGATTATCGCTAAAAATTTACCTTTGCTTTCTGTCTCATTATTTTCTCGGTGGCCACGAAATGGAATATCTTCAGTTGCGAGTGTTAACGTTGTAGCTATAATTCTATCCAATACCAGTTTCCAATAATTTGCTTCATCTCTGATTTGCTTTTCTTGATTTTCGTTTACTGTGTTATGATTTTGAAATGAATAAAAAGCCATGCATGCCATTTTATGAGGTATAGATTTTTCATGTCTTTCAATTCCTCGTGATGTATGGGCCCAATCGTTAAATCCTCGTATCCATTCTTGGTGCTTAATATTATTGTCTCCAAAAAGCCAACAAGGTTGACAGTAACATTTATGGAGCTCCGGTGAATAACAAAGCCACGATCGTGAAATACGCAGTCCAGCTTTTGATACGGTGTAATAAAATGATTCGTCAAAACATCGTCCAACCGCATTACGACTGAAAGGACCACTTGGTCTACAAGGACCATGTTCAACAATAAATTGTTTATCTTCTACACTCAGATGTCTCAGAACTGAATTTTGTATATAATTAGCTATATCAGTAGGATACTGTTTTGTGCAAATGATCGTCATATTTTTACTTAACAATATATCACAATCATCAGTATTGTTCATATTTTGACAAATATCGATAACGTTATTTTTTTCGGAGTTTTCATGTGGTATTTCAAAAACAGATGTAGTTATAGTAGGATTTTCCGAAGTAGATTCAACTGTATTTTTTAAAAAACTGTCTAATTTGGGCAGTTTAGCATCTTTCAATTTTTGTTCTATTTTTTTTTTGCGCTTTTGTGCTCCACTCATAGGTTTACTCATTTTAAAATATAAATTTTAAAAAAATAGAACAAATGAATACGCGTAAACGAACGATAACGAACAATAACGGCTACACGAAAATAAAATCGAAATATACGCGATTGTCATCGACTGACCGACCGACTACTACAAACTTTACGAACAAACTAACAAATAAAGATTTCAAATAATATCAAAACGATAAACGGATAACGTAATCGTAATGATTAATGACAGACGGTCGATTGATAGCCGGTCTATTAATAAATATATGTTAGGAATAAAACCCAACTTTTAACAGTAATGATAATGACTCATGAACATGACGTAAAACGTTAATATAATAATGTTCATACCCATACCGCAGCGAAAAAGGTCGTATCTAACAATTTTGAATTAATAAAAAAAAATGATTTGTTCAATACTATATTAATATATTATAATAGAAAAATATAGGTAGTTTTAAATTTTTATTAATAATTAATAGAAAATTTTTTTTTATTTCTTTGGGCCCCTATACGAACGGGCCCGGGTGCGACTGCGCCCTCTGATCCCTCTTAGTTACGCCACTGTGTACTGTAGGTTACAAGTGGGTCACTGTATGATGGATGGTATTAAATTTGAATTCAATGATATAATATCATTGTATAAGAAAAACGATTCTGAGCGGAGGCGGTATGTCAGTCTAGGTATAAGACATATTATATACTTATTTATGGTATTAAATTATATGGAATTTATGAATAAATTATTCATTGCCCCTTAAAATATGCACAGTCTTATCATTAAGCATACTTCTTATTCCTTATACTATGGTAGATTGTATGGATAGGCCATAATGTGTTGATTTTTCAGTTTCATATATCCCCGAATAATATTTTTAAATTACAACAAAAAACCAAGATCGTTAATATTGATTTTAATATGTAATTTCGTCCAAATTTGAATTTAAAATGTCTGTAAAAAATAACTGTGTTCATATATTGCTTAGATTTTTGGTTACAGTATGAATTATTTAAGAGAATCTTTGTTTTAAATTTTCAACTCTTAGTTATAAAAACTGAACATTTTATAATTTTTTAATTCCAACGATTGATAATTTTCGAGATTTTGATAAATTTTGTCAAAATTCCAACTTTAAATGCTTATAAAAAAAAATCGTGCCTATGTATTTTTAATATTTTTCAACTGATATTGTAACAATATATCAGGAGCCTTGTATTAAATTTTTACACTTTTTGGCCCAACAGATAAAACTTTATTGATATTTATAGAAAAAAAAACTAAAAAAATTGAAAGCTGTAAATGTCCATAAACAGCTCAAAAAGAGTCAAAATATTTTCAAAATTGTATGGTGTATATGAAATGCTAATATAAACATTCAGTGAAATTTTCATGTATCTACAGTTATTCGTTTTTGAATTACAACAAAATAAGGAAATCGCTACATGAGAAATCGAGTGAAAATCCAATGTTGTAAAAATTTGAATTTCAAACGCTCATAAAAATTTAATTTGACTGTCCGGTAGAGATTTTTTTATTGATAAAGGTAGATAATCTTATAAGGAATCTTGTGTTTCATTTTCAAATCTTAGATTTAAAAAGAAAAATTTTTACGAATTCTTAACTCAAAATAATTTGCTAATTTTCGTGATTTTTCCATATTTTGTCAATTTTTGAACTTTAAATGCTTATAAAAAAAAATTGTGACTAAGGATTTTTAATATTTTTCATCTGCCTTTGAAACAACATATTAGGAGCCTTCTATTAAATTTTCAAGCTTTCGCAACCAACAAATAAAATTTTATTGATATTTCTAGAAAAAAAACTAAAATAAAATGAAAAATGAAAATGTCCCTAAACAGTTCAAAATAAATCAAAATATTTTGAAAATGTTATCGTGTATAGAAAATGCAAATATAAACAACCAGTGAAAATTTCATGTATCTACGGTCATTTGTTTTAAAGTTACACCAATAACCAAATTCGATTTTTTGGAAAATCGATTTTGCGTAAAAATTCCCGTTTTTCCTTAATTTTTATGTTGTTTTTCCCGGCGCTTGTGAAAACTACTGGAAAATGTTTACTTTTGACCCCCCAAAGTACCAACTAGATTCACTTTCCTATCAGAAAAGGTACTATTGAAGAAAATCGAAGCACTTTTACTGTCCCAAAACGTGATGACAGACACAAAAAAAAATATAAAAATATAAAAATATAAAAACATACATCATTGTAAAACCAATACATTCATCGCTCCGCTCAGAATCTAAAAGTGTGAAATTAGGTAGTCTCTGCTGTACAGAAGTCGAGTGTACTTCGTGTCTTCGTCATTAATTAAATCACTGTAATAAAATATTAATAGATGTGTTAAGTTCAGTGGATATTTTAAGGAATTTTCACTGGGTAACATTCAAAAAAAAAATTTCACACAACTTATTATGAGCTTATGAAAAACTTTTCAGTATTAATTATATTAATTAATAAATAATAATTTATAATAATAGTTATTATATTGTTAATTCATAGAAATTTACAGATTATTAATAATATTACCCCAATACCATTGATTATAAATACTACTATTTTTACTAGTATTTATAACCAATGGTAATACGTTATAAGTATCATATTATGCAAGTATATAGGTAGGTATATTTCATTTAGGATAATTATATTTTATAATATATTATCATTATTGAAAAGAGGTACTGTATAATAGTGTATTTAGTATAAGTCCAAGTATAAAATAGGTATTAGATTTTAAATTATTTTATACTGATGACTTATTATGTACCGTATCGTATGACGTATTAGGTGCATTGAAGACTTGAACGTTTAAACGTGAAATAATTATTTAGCTAATATCTTGTAGGAACAAGTACTAAAATAAAATCAAAAACAATCAAATAGTTGATATTTGCCTGGACGACTGACGACCAAATGAAACATGTTGTATTGTCGAGTGCCAGCTTTCTTGCGTTGTATTATTCTATGGATACCTACGGGCTACAGTGAACGGTCACATGGGTTTTTCATTCTAAATAATCATTTGTCAAACCAAATGATATAGGTACGTTATAAATAAATAACAAAATTAAACCTAATAAATAATCAATAAATAAAATTATATAATAATTTCAAACATTGAAATTTTTACAAAAAGCATTGTCCCAGTAATTAAATATATCATCTACTAGGTGACAAAAAGTTTTCTTTAGGCGACATTTCTGTTGCCCAGTATATTAGTTAAAATATCAACTGGTTAAGTTTGAATTCAAATAATTCAATGATAAATCGTAGTAGCATGCGAAAAACGATTCTTAGCGGAGATCACTTTCATCCTAACTATACTTATAATACCTATGCAATATTTTATTCTGTATTTATGATGGCATATTATTGTTGTACTATACAGTAATTTATTTTACTATTATATTAGTAGATACCTATAACAGTGAGTTGAATTAGTTTTTGTTGAAAACAGCATATTTTATTATATTGCCAATTATTATAATATCATATTATTATATTATATTTAAATCATATATTTTTTTTATTAAATTTAAGTCAGTTACCGTACAGTGAGGATAGTTGGTATAGACTCATTTTATAAATAAGTAATACATTAACATTAATATTAATAGTTTGAAATGTCATTAATATAATAATATATATTATAAAAAGTATAATACCACTTCTAATATTTTTTAAGTAGGCACAACAAAATAACCGTGTTAGTTTTATTCCTTCATGTATCTAATTACATCATAATTTTAACTTCAATATTCTACAAAAATAAAATAATCTTAATATATTCTTAAGATTTTCGGGGTTTTAGTAAGAAGTACTTATGAGCTACGAGGAACCTCTTATTAAATTATTTAAGCTTTAGCTGCAGCTACAGGCAGCCTACACAAAATTCAACATTTTATTAAACTTTTTTAACTATAAAATGATTTTGCAAATGTTCGTGGTTTTTGCCAAATTTAGTCTAGCTTTAATTTAAAACTATTATAAAAAAATCGTGCCTATGTGTTTTTAATATTTTTAAATTGAATAATTTCAATTACTTATAGCTATAAGAACAAGGTAGAAAATTAATAGTTTCCATACTGTTTGACTGATCTTAAACATTTTTATCAACAAATAAAAAAAAGGTGCTCTGCTGTACAGTAGGTTACAAGTGGGTCACTATATAATGTATGGTATTACATTTGAATTCAATGATATTATATCATTGTATAAGAAAAACGATTCTGAGCGGAGACGGTATGTCCTTCTAGGTATAAGACATATTATATTATACTTATCTATGATATTAAAAAAAATGACCTATAATGAATTCCAAATTAATCATATCACAATATCCATTAGGTACAGTGTACACCAACAATAAACCCTGATACTATCATAGATATATAGTACTATAGTAGTATACTTTAGAAGTTTCAAGTACCCACTAGTAATATTATACAAACACAACAAAATAACTAAAATAGTTATTCTAGGTTTTTTATTATGTAATTTCGTGTTAATTTGAACTTAAAATGACTATAAAAATAAAATTTGCTTATTTATTTTTTAGATTTTTTGGTAACAGAATTATCCACTTAAGTGAAATCTTGTTTTAAATTTTCAATCCTTAGATATAAAAGTTGAACATTTTATACATTTTTAACTAAAAAATAATAATTCAATTTTAAATTTGATAAATTTTGTCAAAATTCGATCTTTAAGTGCTTATAAAAAAAATTGTGTCTATGTATTTTTAATATTTTTCAACTGACATTGTAACAATATATCAGGAGCCTTGTATTAAATTTTTACACTTTTTGGCCCAACAGATAAAACTTTATTGATATTTAAGAAAAAAAAAAACTAAAAAAATTGAAAACTGAAATTGTCCGTAAACAGCTGAAAAAGAGTCAAAATATTTTCAAAATTCTATGATGTATAGGAAATATTTATATAAATATTCAGTGAAATTTTTATGTATCTACAGTTATTCATTTTTGAAA